GGCAATAAAGTACCCAAGGAAATTCTAAAACATCAAGAAAGGAAGACTAATTTTTATTATTTTTGCTGTGGTTGAATCTCTGAGATTCTTTATTACAGATAAATAATTTTGCCTCTTTACCTATGTAGTTTTAGTTACTTGCCTATGTAGTTTCATTCATTTGTTTATTTTTTTGCTTTTTCTTATTGCTATAGATCTTCTAGAACTAAACCAAACAATAGTAAAGAAAATGGGTGTTTTGTTTTACCCCTGATCTTATTGGAGAAACAGTTTCTCTGTTACAAAAGCTCTTAAGATACGCTGTTTACCTTTTTAATGAAAGATACATTTATTCCTGTGCTTTTTTTTTTTAGTATTTTAACATGAGTGCTGTATTTTGCCAAACTTTTTTTCTACATGTAAAGAAAAAGAAAGATTAATTTCCCAAGGAAAAAAATGTTTTCTGGGTCCAAGTTTTGTGACCTTTTGGATAAAGAACAAAGTTTACAACTAAGACACATCTTATGAAAAAGTGAAAGGTATAAGACCTTTGACCAAGGGGCAGCTAGGTGGCGCAATGAATAGAGCTCTGGCCTTGGAGTCAGGAGGACCTGAGTTCAAATCCAGCCTCAGACACTTAACACTTACTAGCTGTGACCCTGGGCAAGTCACTTAACCCCAATCACCTCACCAAAAAGCAAAACAAAACAAAACAAAACAAAAAAAGACCTTTGACCAAGAAAAATTTCTCCAAATCTTATCAGTGTAACTCTAGAAATTCAAGTTAAGAGGCAGCATAGACGACAATACATACTAATATATATCTGTATATCTCTGGGCAAGTCATTTAACCTCTCTGTCCCTAGGGCAAATCACCAGGTCTTATCTTCTAAGTTAGAGAGAAATAGCAAACTGCTATCATGCTATTATTGGTGGTAGGAGTTCCTTCCAACAATGAAATCGAACATCTTTCACAGTCATTAATATCAATGCAATTCTGTATAGGCCTATATCCTAAAAAGAAATTACCTAGGCCTAAAAGTAACAGTGGATAACAGAAATTAAAATTAAAATTGAAGTGGTAATATTCTTCTGGCTACTTCAGCTCACTACTAAAAGATGCATCACAGCTATGACAGTAAGTGAAAATTTGGTAAGTTTTTAGTAATTTAAATGTTAAAACTGGATGAAAATGTCTCTGAAACTGGCAAGCCTTTTCTGTATGGCCAAAATGTCACGGTTCTTGGTCTGCTATAAACACCTAGGTGTTCAACGAGATCAGACACTTCAATAATATCAGTAACTAGTATAGTGAGTAAAGCAATAGTGATTTGAGCTCAACAAATCTTTCTATACAGAAAGTAAGTTATAGGGCTCAACAAGAGCTCTACTTTTTAACCTTTTGGGTCAATCCCCTCTAGGACATATTAATCTGCACAAGATAAATAGGTAGAACAACATTCTGGAAGTACACAGAATACTAGCCAGAAGAAAAGTGGAAGAGAAAAGACTTTTTTTTAGATAGAAAAGGAAAATTAGGAAACCATAAACAAAGATTTAAAAAGTACATCTATTCTGGAAGGAAAGATATTAATTTAATGACTACATTTATTGTTAGTTACTCTCTTAACGGTTTTATGCACATATTTCATTTCAGTATTAAATTTCTTGGTATTTTTCGATTAAAAAAATACTCAAGTCAAGCAGAATGATTTTAGAACTTGTACTTCCAAATTACAAATATCAAAATTTCATATTAAAAGAGGTAAATTTTCCATAATATTAATAAGCTTATAAATTAGGAATTTAAAAACAATTTCCAGGTCCATTTTAGATCAATTTTATATTCCTAATGGCACCTCAAACTCAGCATGTCCAAAATTAACATCTTTTTTCTTCCTAAATCTCCTCTCCTACCAAACATCTCTATTCCTGTTAGATCATTCCAGGCACCAGACTCAAAATCTCAAAACTCATCTTTGATTCTTTCCCCTCTTAACTCCCCAAAAGCAGCTGCTAAATTCTGTCAATTTTGACTCTGCAGTATTTCTGGCACCTATCTCCTCTTTTACCAAGAACCAACTAGACTAGTAGTTTCCTGAGTGTGGTGTCCCTTCTGGTCTGTTCCCTCTCTAATTTAGTCTTTATATTTATTGCTGCTAGAGTAATTTTCCTAAAGATCTGATACTCCATCTTCATAATACGGTTTTAGCCTATCATTCCAATCTTCTTTTTTTTTTCAGAGTACTCCCCGCTTATACAAGTTCTCAAGCCAAACTAGACTACTCATACTTTCTAGTTCTTATACTAACTTTTCACAAAGACCCCCCAACCATATCTGGAAGAGTTTCCCCTCCCTCCCTACACTATCATCTCCACTTACAGAAATATTCTCCATGCTCCTATTCAGTTGCTGATCCTCTAATGAAGCCTCCCCTGATCTCCAGCCAGAAATAATTCCCCCATCAACCAATCTCTCTCATTTCTATTTTATTGTTCCTGTGCTTTAGGCATTTAGGCAGCTAGGTGGCACTGTGCCCAGAATCAGGACAAGTTCAAATTCAACCTCAGACACTCACTAGTGTGACCCTGAGAGACACATCACTTAAGTTCTGTTTGCCTCCATTTCCTTAACTGTAAAATGAGGAAAATAACAACACCTACCTCAAAGGGTTGCTGTGAAGTTCAAATGAGATAACATTTAGCACATTAGGTGTTATATAAATGCTTGTACCCTCCCCCATCACATATCAAACTTTAATATTAAATTATAAACTCCTTTAAGGCAAGAATTATATCATTTTCCATCTTTGTATCCTCAGACCCTAGCACAGTACACACAGCAGGCATTTCATACATGCTGCTTGAACTGAAGATAAGCAAGAAAAATACTAAAATCTTAATGACTGCTCAATATCAATAACTAACATTCTTATACATACTTTTAAGTAATCCATAACTTGGTTTACTATTCCTCAAGGTACTGGAGTTCATTTCCATATAATATTCAACCCAATTATATTCTACAATGACACCTGCTGGCCATTCAGAATTAGTCATTAGCTCTCTAAATAATCTGGTATTCTGGTTACATAACAGGAAAAAAACAACACAGGCATAAAAGCAAAAATTACTTTCAGGCATCTCAGCACACTTGTAAATAAAATTTAAGATTACAAGGATTTCACTAAAAGGAAGAATTGGAGACATGCTATGTGAAGACAGACAAGGTTTGTGAAAGGCACATAAAAATATTTAAAATAAAATCACTCTCTTTGCATAGTGCCTAGGACATAAATACCTGTTAACTGATTCTCAAAGAATCATCTTTTTCCCTTATCTGAAATTCAAAATTAGGTGTGAGATTATAATGGTGAAATTACGGTGGGGAAAAGAAGAGATAATATATTAGGAAGTAGTTCTGAAACTGGGTAAAAGAATATTATAATGCTTGAGGGTAAGTTTAAGAAAATAACATACTTGCTAACACTACTTTTGTCCTTACTTGTTTAAAAATATATGAAATTAAGAATTCATTAACATTTAAATAATCCTATCTCAAAATTCTGTTTTTCCTATGTTTTACAATTCAGGCTTTTTAATCCAGTCAGAATTTGTTCTTCCATAATGAATATTAAGGAAGTACCTGAAATTTTGTCGTTATTTATTTCATCTTATGTACCAAACTGCCATGTTTCAGGCATTTGCAGTCGATTATTATCTTTATAACAAGAGAATATAACCAATTTAAACACAGAAGATTTATACCTAGTTACAGCTACGAAAACATTTTCAAGAATGTACTCTTAACAAGTAAATAAATCTTTTCAAAAGCCACAGCAAATAGTATTTGTAGTTATGTTTGTAATTTCAGGTCATTTTCTTTGCAGTACATTCTCCAAGGTTCCTAATCTTAGGTAATAACGATGCAATACCGAGTTTCCCATTCATTACACCTCCTCCCAAAGCAAGCTCCTAATTTATACCTACCTCCTACTGTTGATACGCGAAGCTCAAGCGTCTCTTCTTTCCTGAAGGAAGAAAAACATTCAAAACGGTGCTATCAGCCTTGAGAATTAAGGCAAAAATAAATTCACAAGCCACGAAACTTTAAAATCCGCTCCATAACAAACCTCTTAACCCAGAGCCTTAAACACACATCTAGCACAAGCTCTCCGTGACTTCTCCAGTCTCACGACTGTCGCCCGACAGTCCGCCCCCTAAACTGTACCCAGAGTGGCCGGGCCAAGACAGACGCCTGACACATCAACCCCTCCATCCAGGAGAGAGACGAACCGCGCGTCTGTATTGCTGTCTGGGAGTGTGAAATAACCAAGGGTTACATAACGTGCCCCCACAAAGGGCTCCGCGGATCGGGCTGCCCGGTCTGGACCACTGGACCTTTTCTTCCTCGCATCCCACCTACCCCCCACCTCCATCCCATCACCTCAGCAAAGAGGCTCGTTGCACTCGATTCCAGCAAAGCCTCCAGCTCGGGGCGAGGAATTCCTTCCACCCCAAGCTACACCTCCTTTACTCCCGGCCCCGCAGGCCCCACCTCGAACCCCAACCCTGGGGCCCCGCGCGCCGCCCCCGCCAGGGTCTTCCTGAGCCGCCGCCGCGGCCGCCTCCGCCTCCTCACGACCCTCCAGGCGTTTACCTGGGCAGCCAGAGGCTCGGAAGCAGCTGACTGACGACCCTTCGGGCTCCCCGACCCTCTCCCTCGGTGCAGCCCCTCCAGCGCGGCGCGCTCTCTCTCACTCGGCCGAGGAGGGAACCACCCATCCGCGTCGGCCGCGTCGAGGTCCTCGACCGCTCAGCAGGCGCCTACCTGTCACCGCCGCCGTCCCCTTCCTGCTCCAGGAGCCGCCGCCGCCGCCGCCGCCGCCGCCGCCTCTCACAGCAGCCGGCCAACTGCAACACAACAACCCGCCCTCCCATTGGGCGGCTCCACGCCCTCAACAACGGGCACGCTCATTGGCCGCTGAGCTCTCTCCACATTTCCCGCCCACTACCCCGCCTTCAGCTGCGTGCATCGCCCAAAAGGTTCCGCAACCTAGATTCCCGTTCCCCTCCGCGCTCCAAGCCTCGGCTGTAGTCGCGCTTTCTTTTAAGCAGCCAGGAAGAAAATGGTTCAGCAGTGAGACAGGCAAGTTAGAATCTCCTCCCCACCCCTACTACTCTTTCATCTTCTGCGTCCTGCCTTCCCCATCTCCCCACTGCTCTTGGCACGCTTCAACAAGCCTCGGGTTCCCCCCCCACCGCCCCAAGGTAGTTCCGTCCAGTCGACTTCCGCTTCCTCTTAGCTCTGGCTTGGGGGGTGGGGGGGGGCGGTATTGAGATTCCAGTGTCCCGGGGAGGTCAAGATTCCTGTCAGGTAACTCCGGGAGTGGGGGAGGGGAGAGAGAGAAGGTGCAGGATCGCCGAGTCTGGGGACAGGAAGGTGGGTCGCGTCTGCCCCCTTGGGGGGGTCGCGTCGGGGGCTCGAAGGAGGGTACCCCTGCCCTCCGCGTTTCTACTTGGTGCCCTCGGCGCTTCGACCAGGCCCGCCCCCGCTTCGGGAGACACTTCCTCCTCTTCTCCGCCTGTGGGAATGATCGATCTCTTGGATCCAGACTCCAAGTCCAGGAGTTCGCTCCCCCACCCTTGAAGCTGTCGGGTCACTCTGACCTTCGCTATCCCCGGAGTGTCTTCTTCTAACTTGTACGGATACAACGATCTCAGCTACAATAGCTCGGGGTCCAGGGCCTATTTTATGTACGTTTTTCGATTACCCTGTATCTCGCCACCAATGACACTATCTCCACCTCCACCCCCCCCATCCCTAACACTTAGAGAGCAGATGCCCCCACCACTTGGTGCCCTGAGAAGATTGAGGCCATCTGAAGTGAGTCCATTACGAGCACCCCTCTCCTCCTCTTCTCAGTCTTCAGAGCCCCCAGTGGTTGTCTGCTGAGTCCTTACATCAGGTCACCAAAGATATGCCCCGCTCCTCACTAAAGCGAATCAGATGAGTTAATATGTTGGCTTACAGGCTCAAAAAGTGCTTGTTTCCTGCCTTCCCTAAATTCCTTTACTTTTACTCTGTAAGATTGTAAGCTCCAGGAGGGCCAGGACTGTCATTTTTCTTTCTTTTGTATTCCCAGTGCCTAGCACAGACTGACTGTATCCAAATCCCTATTGCCTCTTTTATGACCTTAATTCGGCATTCATCTCACCTTATAATATACTTCAACTTTTTTTTTTCAACAGTCTCCTTCCCATATGCCTACAAACATGCTGAGATCACTCAGTCCTTATAATAAAGAAAGAGGGGAGGGAGGAAGGAAGGAAGACCTTCTTTTGACCTTTAAACCTATACAATTACTATCTCATATCTGTTTTGCTCTTCTGTGCTAATAACTTTCTTTAAAAGGTTGTCTATAGTTGATGACTCCTGCTTTCTCACTACCTGCTCTTTTCAACCTTTTGTTCTAGATAAATTGAGGGGTGGGGGAGGTTAGGGGTGGGCTCTCGTTATTCTGTTGAAACTGCTCTCTCAAGGCAATGGTATTCTGTTTTCCAAATCTAATAGCCTTTTTTGCATTACTCATTTTCATTGAGCATTTGACCTTGCAATAGTCTTTCCTCCTCCCTTAACTTAAACTACGCTTCTGAATTGCTTCTCTGCCTTTTGCTAGTAGTTCATCCTCTTTGCAACTCCTTAAGCACAGAACTGATACTTCCAGTTCACGGATGTGTTACTCTCTCCATAATTGGGCTTTAATTTGTCATTTCAGGCTTATTTCATAGTACATAGGTATCCCATAAGGGTCTGTCCTCGGCCCTCTTCTTTCTCTACAATCCATTCCTTGTTGACATCATTCATTTCCACAGCTTCAACTACTGTCTTCCTGCAGATGACTGCCAAAACTTTAATCTCCAGTCTTGACCTGTCTTCTCAGCTCTAAACTCACATCTCTTCAATACTTATAGGACTTCAGTACCTGATATTCTCACCGGCACTTTAATCTCCTTGGATCCAAAACCAGTTTTAGTGTAGGGTTTTAGGTTTGGAAAGGACTTTAGAGATAATTTAATCCAAGGGCTTTTTATGAATTGGGATATTTTAAGTCCCAAGATACTAAATGATTTATGCAAAGTACAGTATACAGATATTCTGTGAAGATCAAATGACATAATGTATGTAGAGTGCTTTGCAAACTTTAAAGCGCTATATAGATAAAGCTGTTGTTACTTATTGTAGTAAATTGAAGGGCAAAGATACTGTGTGATATTGTGTAGTTGTCTATGTAGGCATCCCTTCTGCCTACTACACTACAAGCTGGTTGAAGGCAAAGATTGCCATATATGTCTTTGATAACTTCCCTTGTATCTAGCACATATACTCTTTAAGGAGAGGGACTGTTATTCTTCATCTTTGTGTTCCTGGCACAGCTCCTTAGACATAGTAAGCATTTATGTTTGTTGAATTTTAAAAGTAGTAATGTCAGTCGATGATGCTGGTTCAGATTATTAAAAGTCAAGTTCCTACCCCTTCTCTTAAACAATAAACTACCAAAGTGGAAAGTAACACAAACTATCAGTCACACTCACTTTTTTAGGCTGTTTTGCTTAACTTTTTTATTGAAAAGTACTGTTGGGGATGAGGTTGGGAATGTAGGAAAATAATATATCAAAATAATGTTTTGTTTTGTTTTTGAAAAATCCTCTCCCTAAAAAGCCCCCCATAAAATCAACAGCCTTCTTTTTGCAGTGTGCCATTTGGCTTATTTGTGTGCTTACCAAACTTACCAGATATTTGAAGAGGAAAAAGGTTGTTTTTTTTTTTTTTAAAGATTTATTTAGATCTTAACATTTTGAACCACCGTTTAGAACCATCACAATTTAGCTTTAAAACTGAACAATCAGCAGTCATTTATAAGCGATTACTACGTGCTAGGCAGTGTGCTAATCCATGGGGATACAGAGAAAGGTAAAAACTGTTCTTGCCCTCTAGGAGCTTATGAACATTCATATACAGAATGAAGTAAGCAGAACCAGAAAATTATTACACCAATATTACACAATATTACACAACTACAGCAGGGTAAATGGCAAGAACAACAAGAACCAAAAACACCCATGAAATAGAATGTTGTATGATCATAGTGACGAAGCTTGGCCCCAAAGAAGGAATGAGAACGTATTCTTCTTTATAGAGATGGAAAACTATGGGGGTGGGACATTGTATGTAATACTGCCTGACTCAGTTGATGTGTTGATTGCTTTTGCTAAATTGCCTTTTTTTTTTTTTTAATTTAAATAAGGAATAGCTTGCAAGTTAGGCATGAGAAGTATGATATGTTCAGAATAAAGGTGATGTAAACATAAAAGATAAGGTTTGTTTATTTTTAATTTTAGTCATATCAGCAAATATCTTGAAGGTAGAAAGAGCACTTGATTTAAAGCCAGAAGATTTGGGCTCCAGTTCTGAGCTCAGATGCTTAGTTCCTCTTTTGCAAAATGAAAAGAGTTAGACTAGAAGATCTCAAAAGTACCTCCCAGTTCTAAGTAAGTATCTAATTTTATGAACATGGAAATAAAATCAGATGAATGGCCAAAAAAAATTGGTATTCTTGCCTAGGATCATAACAAAACTCAAAGGGACCATTGTGATCATCTAGTCCAGAGGTGTCAAACATTGCCATATGCACCCCACCAGGGAACCAGAACCACATTAATATGTAATTAAGATATGTTTAACAAAACAAATAAAAATGCAATAAAACATAATAATATGTTATTTTCTAAGTCAATATGTGGCCAGCAATTAACCTTATATATGGTTTAGTGGTCCCCCTTTCTATTTGAGTTTGACGTTAGTGATCTAGTGCAGTCACCTTATTTCATAGATGACGAAACTGAGGCCCAGAGACAGTGTGTCTGTTCATGGTAATAAAGATATAAATATCAGATCTGAGAATCAAACTTAGGTCCTCTGATTTCAAATTAGATCCTCTATCATGCCATACTTCAACTGATATTTTTAAAAATTAAGTTATTTTTTAAATAGATTGACCATCTATACCCCAATTTTTTTATACTACCCTGCCTTTTGAATTGCAGTGTGTTCTGTGACAAATGCTGAGTTGCCCCTGTTAATCCTGTAATTTCTCTTTCAATAAGAGGTTTTTACCTAATCTTAAACCCTTTTTAATCATCCTTCTAGCGACATTAAAAATCTAACTTGGATATTTGCTGTGTAATCTTGGAATTGGGGTTATATGATAAAAAGCTAGCAATGTGATAAAATTGGGGCAATACCATTTGTTCTACCTACCCTGCAGAGTTGCAGTTCATTAACATTTATTAAGACTTTATTCAGGGGTAGCTAGGTGGCAAAGTGGATAAAGCACTGGCCCTGGATTGAGGAGGACCTGAGTTCAAATCCGGCCTCAGGCACATAACACTTACTACCTGTGTGTGACCCTGGGCAAGTCACTTAACTCCATTGCCTAGCCAAAAAACAAAAGGCTATTTAATGGACTATTGCTTTGAGGAAAGTAAGGTTTACAAAATCTTACAAAAGATGGAAGCTATCATTGAGAGAGAAAGTATTTATTAAACCCTTACTCTGAGCCAGGCACTATACTAAGCATTGGGGTTACAGGTAAAGCAAACAAAAAAGGCCTTACCTTCCTGTGATTAACCCTCCATGTCCAGAAATCGTAGGCTATATATTCCTTGTTTATTTTAATTTCTTTCTATAGGCATGGCACATGGACATGAGCATGGACATGGTCATGGTCATGGAAAAATTGAACTCCCTGATTACAAACAGTGGAAGATAGAAGGAACGCCACTACAGCGAGTTCAGGAGAGGCTGGCTAAGCAAGGTCTCAGGGATCCATGGGGCCGGTAAGAGGACCTCCGTAGCTTGGATGTAATCATCCTATAACATCAATTAGAATATCAGTTATTATTTCCTCTATATCCTTTCCTGAAGAAAAAAAATATTTGTTGGTGTTACATTGACTTTTTGTTGGCTGTACTCTGTTGCGTGCAGCAGGAGTCCTTCTGATGGGTGATAAAAGCTTTTCCACAGATATCACATAATACAGGGATTAGTGAGTCATGGCATATTTTCTGCTCTAGAAGAGAGGTTATCATCATCTAAATTGATCTTATACGTCTAGTCTCTAACAGTTTCAGTCAGTGATTTTAGGAAGACTTTTGAGTGGTAATCTATATTTATCCAGGGTAAATGCGTTAGTAGGAAAATTAATCATACTCATTGTTGTTCTGACATATCTAGCAGGATATTATATTTTTTAGTAATATTTTCCCCAATTATATGTAAAAACAATTTTTAACATTTTTTTTTAATTTTGAGTTCCAAATTTTCTCCCTGCCTCCCTTATCTCCCCCTCCCTAAAGATGGTAAGCAATTTGATATAGGTTATATAAGTGCAATCATGTAAAAGCATATTTCCATATTAGTCATATTGTGAAAAAAGAAACAGACCAAAAGAAAAAAATATAAAAAAAATAAAGTGAATAATAGTATGCTTCAGTCTGCATTCATATTCTAGTTCTTTCTCTGGATGTGGACAGCATTTAAAACATCATGAATCATTTGGAACTGTTTTGGATCGTTACATTGCTGAGAGTAGCTAAGTCATTCACAGTTGATCATCGCGCAATGTTGCTGTTACTGTGTACAAAGTTCTCCTGGTTCTGCTAACTTCATTTTGCATCTGTTCGTGTTAAGTCTTTGTAGTCATTTCTTATAGCACAAATAGTATTCCATACCATATACCACAACTTGTTCAACCATTCCCCAATGATGAGCATCTCCTAAATTTCCAATTCTTTGCCACCACAAAAAAAGTGAACAGGATATTCTTTCCCAAAGTGCTATCGATTCAATTCATCTTTCTATTTTAAAAGTAGCCAGAAGGAAAAATGCCAGAGCAAGAAACAGTAATTTATGCTGCTCAGTGTAGGTCCCTCCCTCTGAAAACAGCTGTAATCACCATTAAGTGATTGTAGTCTTATGCCTGGCTGGATCCATCCCAGAGACCCAGGATTTTATTAAATACTCTTATAATAGCATACTTACTACATATGGACATAGAAGAAAAATCAGGTTGAATAACTCTTACCTCAGTAAAATCTAAAATAACAAGACTACTATGAAATACATGATTGTTCATTCATAGATTATTTTACATGTTAAGTTCCGGCATAAATAGACCAATCTGTCTTATTCCATAGAAAAGTGACTAATGGATTGTTATTTGGTCCTCTGCATATGTCTACCTGAAAGTTAGAGATTAAATATGAAATTTTTACAACCAGGCTATTGTGACTAAGACTTTTTTTTCTGATTGATTTTTTTTTTTTACCCCTAGCAATGAAGCTTGGCGATACATGGGTCGTTATGGAAAACCTGCTACTTTGTGGGCTGCTTTGACAAGAGGATTCAAATGGGGTTTTGGAGCATTTTTATTAGCTGTCGGAGTAGAATATTTCCTAACTGCACCAAAGAATGAGGAAGAACATGCTTCTAAACACTGAAGTTAGGACATAAAGGAATCATAATTAGCTATTTAGAGTGAATGTTTGCTGTACTGTAGTTTGCTTGCTTGCCATGTTAAAGATTAATATTAAAATTTCACTTGGTAAAAGAACCTATATGCCTGGTTTTGTCATTATATCCAAATATATAACGTACAAATCTATATCAGTTTATACTACTATATCTATATCTATATAACTATATCTATATCTATATAACTACTAGAGTTTTTGGATTTCCTTACATGAATATATCTTATTATACACAGAAGTGCTGAGTGCTTGGTTCTCTTTTAAGCTTTTAATAAACTTCAGTAACCTAAAAAAGCACTAAGACTTTTGTGACACCCTGTATAATACCACTTTGTCCCTTCCCTTTTACCTCTTACTCCTTTTGAATAGTGTATACCCTTCAATAGCCACATTCTGATTATCACATCAAATCTTGATGTTACCTATGAGATCAAATTCGTTTTAGGACTACTAATTAACTTTGCTTTTTACATTTACTTAGAACTTATTTTTTAAAAATTTATTTTGATTTATCAACAATCACTTCCATAAGATTTTGAGTTGTAAATTTTTCTACCTCTCCTTCGCCACCTCCCTCCCCAAGATGGCATGCAATCTGCTATAGGCTCTACATGAACATTCCTATTAAACGTATTTTCACATTAGTGATGTAAGGAAGAATTAGAACCAATAGAAGGAACCACAAGAAAGAGGAAACAAAACATGTGTGCTTTGATCTACATTCAAACTCCATAGTTCTTTCTTTGGATATGGATAGCATTTTCCATCATGAGATGTCTTAGATCTTTGTGTTGCTGAGAAGGGCTAAGTCTATCAAAGTTAGTCATCCCACAAAGTGGCTGTTATTGTGTACAACATTCTCCTGGTTCTGCTTACTTCACTCAGCATCAATTCATGCAAGTCTTTCCAGGTTTTTTTGATCCACCTGCTCATTTCTTACAGCACAATATTATTCCATTATATTCATATACCATAACTTGTTCAGCCATTCCCCAATTGATGGGCAGCCCCGCAATTTCCAATTCTTTACCACCACTAAAAGAGCTGCTCTAAATATTTTTGTATATGTGGGTCTTTTTCCCATTTTTATGATCTCTTTGAGATATAGCCCTAGAAGTGCTATTGCTGGGTCAAAGGGTAAGCACATTTTTATAGCCCTTTGGGCATAGTTCAAATTACTCTCCAAAATGGTTGAATCATTTCACAACTCAATGCATTAGTGTTCCAATTTTCCTACATCTTCTATCATTTTCCTGTTTTGTCACGTCGGCCAATCTGATAGGTGTGATGTGGTACCTCAGAGTTGGTTTGATTTGCATTTCTCTAATCAATAGTTATTTAGGGCATTTTTTCATTTGACTATAGATGGCTTTCATTTCTTCATCTGAGAACTACCTGTTCATATCCTTTGACCATTTATCAATTGGGGAATGGCTTGTATTCTTAGAAATTTGACTTAATTCTCTATATATTTTAGAAATGAGGCCCTTATCAGAGACACTGGTTGTAAAAATTCTTTCCCAATTTTCTACCTTCCTTCTAATCTTAGTTGCATTGGCTTTGTTTGTGCAAAAACTTTTCAATTTAATGTAATCAAAATTATTCATTTTGTATTTCATAATGTTCTCTATCTCCTGTTTGGTTATGAATTCTTCTGTTTGCCATAAATCTGCCAGGTAAACTATTCCTTGCTCTCCCAGTTTGCTTATAATATCAGCCTTTGTATCTAAATCATGAACCCATTTTGACTTTATTTTGGTATATGGTGTGAGATTTTGGTCTATGCCTAGTTTCTGCCATACTCTTTTCCAGTTTTCCCAGCAGTTTTTTTTCGAAGAGTGGGTTCTTATACCAGAACCTGGGGTCTTTGGATTTATCAAATAATAGATTACTATAGTCACTGACTATTGTGTTTTGCATACCTAACCTATTCCACTGATCCACCACTCTATTTCTTAGCCAGTACCAAGTAGTTTTGATGATTGCTGCTTTATAATACAATTTAAGATCTGGAATGGCTAGGCCATCTCCTCCTGCACTTCTTTTCATTAATTCCCTTGTTATTCTGGACCTTTTGTTATTCCAAATGAATCTAGTTATTATTTTTTCTAGCTCTATAAAATAATTTTTGGTAGTTTGATTGGTATGGCACTGAATAAGTAAATTAGCTTAGGTAGAATTGTCATTTTTATTATATTAGCCCCACCTATCCATGAGCAACTGATATTTCTCAATTATTTAGATCTGATTTTATTTGTGTGAGAAGTCTTTCATAATTGTGTTCATATAGTTCCTGAGTTTGTTTCAGTAGGTAGACTCCTAAATACTTTATAATGTCTACAGTAACTTTAAATGGAATTTCTCTTTCTATCTCTTGCTATTGGGCTTTGTTGGTAATATATAGAAATGCCCATGATTTATGTGGGTTTATTTCGTAGCCTGCAACTTTGCTAAAGTTGGTTATTATTTCAAGTAGTTTTTTACTTGATTCTCTAGGATTCTCTAAGCATATCATCTGCAAAGAGTGATAGCTTTGTTTCTTCTTTGCCTATTCTAATACCTTCGATTTCTTTTTCTTCTCTTATTGCTAAAGCTAACGTTTCCAGTACCATATTGAACAACAGTGGTGATAATGGACATCCTTGTTTCACCCCTGATCTTATTGGAAATGCTTCATGCTTATCCCCATTACATATGATGCTTGCTGAAGGTTTTAGGTGGATGCTGCTTATTATTTTAAGGAAGACTCCATTCATTCCTATGCTCTCTAGAGTTTCTAATAGGAATGGGTGTTGTATTTTGTCGAAAGCTTTTTCTACATCTATTGAAATGATCATGTGATTTCTGTTAGTTTAGTTGTTGATATGATCAATTGTGCTGATAGTTTTCCTAATATTGAACCAGCCCAGCATTCCTGGTATAAATCCTACCTGGTCATAGTGTATTATTCATGTGATAAGTTGCTGTAATCTAATTGCTCATATTTTATTTAAAATTTTTGCATCTATATTCATTAGGAAAATTGGTCTATAGTTTTCTTTCTCTGTTTTGATTCTTCCTGGTTTAGGTATCATCACCATATTTGTATCATAAAAAGAATTTGGTAAGACTCCTTCTATTTTCCCAAATAGTCTATATAGTATTGGAATTAATTGTTCTTTAAATGTTTGATAGAATTCGCTTGTAAATCCATCTGGCCCTGGAGATTTTTTCCTAGGTAGTTCATCAATGGCTTGTTCAATTTCTTTTTCTGAGATGGGGTCATTTAAGTATTTTACTTCTTCTACTGTTAATCTGGGCAATTTATATTTTTATAAATATTCATCCATTTCACTAAGATTGTCAAATTTATTGGCATACATTTGGGCAAGTTAGTTCCTAATTATTGTTTTAATTTCCTCTTCATTGGTGGTGGATTCACCCTTTGGATTTTTGATACTGGTAATTTGGTTTTCTTTTTTTTAATTAAATTAACTAAAGATTTATCTATTTTATTGGTTTTTTCATAAAACCAGCTCTTAGTTTTATTTATTACTTCTATAGTTTCCTTAATTTCAATTTTATTAATCTCTCCTTTGGTTTTCAGTATTTCTAATTTGGTATTTAATTGGGGATTTTTAATTTGTTCTTTTTCTAGTTTTTTTAGTTGCATGCCCAATTCATTGATCTCCTCTTTATCTATTTTATTCATGTAAGCATTTAGAGATATAAAACTTCCCCTAGGAACTGCTTTGGCTGCATCCCATAAGTTTTGGTATGTTGTATCATTATTGTCATTCTCTTGAATGAAGTTATTGATTGTTCCATGATTTGTTGTTTGACCCATTCATTCTTTAGGATTAGATTATTTAGTTTCCAATTATTTTTTAGTCTATCTTTCCATGACCCTTTATTACATATAATTTTTATTGCATCATGATCTGAAAATGATGCATTTAATATTTTTGCCTTTCTGCGTTGGATTGTGAGGTTTTTATGCCCTAGTATGTGGTCACTTTTTGTGTAGGTGCCATGAACTGCCGAGAAAAAAGTACATTCCTTTCTATCCCCATTCAATTTTCTCCAGAGGTCTACCATATCTAACTTTTCTAAAATTCTATTCACTTCCTTAACTTCTTTCTTGTTTATTTTGTGATTGTATTTATCTAGTTTAGAGAGGGGGAGGTTGAGGTCCCCCACTAGTATAGTTTTGCTGTCTATTTCTTTCTGTAACTCCTGAACTTCTCTTCTAAGAATTTGGATGCTATACCACTTGGTGCATATATGTTTAGTAATGATATTACTTCATTGTCTATGGTGCCTCTTAGCAGGATGTAGTTTCCTTCTTTATCTCTTTTGATAAGATCTATTTTTGTTTTTGCTTTGTCTGAGATCAGGATTGCTACCCCTGCTTTTTTTACTTCAGTTGAAGCATAACAGATTCTGCTCCTGCCTTTTTACCTTTGCCCTGTGTGTGTCCCTCTGTTTCAAATGTGTTTCTTGTAAACAGCATATTGTAGGATTATGGTTTTTAATCCATTCTACTATCCACTTCAGTTTTATGGGAGAGTTCATCCCATTCACATTCACAGTTATGATTACTGTCTGTGTCTTTCTCTCCATCTTATTTCCCCTGTTTATGCTTTTCTTTCTCCTTTCTCCCTTTCCCTCCTCACTAGTGTTTTGCTTTTGATCACTGCCTCTCTCAGTCCTTCCTCCCTTAGTCCCACGACTTCCTTCTATTAGCCCCCTCCCTTTTCTTCCTCTTTACCTTTACTACTTCTTTGCTCCCTTCTATCCTCCCTCCCTTTCTCTTCCATTGTCCCTCCTACTGCCTGCAGGGCAAGTTAGATTTCTCTACCTAACTGATTATGTTATTCCCTCCTTGAGCCAAATCTGATGAGCATAAGGTTCAAACAATGCTCATCTCCCTCCCTTCTTTCCCCTTACTATAATAGATTTTTTTGTAACTTTTCCTATAACATAATTTACCCTTGTCTGCCTCCTGCTTTCCTTTTCTCCCAGTACAATCCCTTAGTTAGATCAGATTAATGCACTTACTTAGATCCATTTAACCCACTTAATTATATTTTTTTATCAT